GGGCGAGCCCGCTCCCTCCGCACCGCCGGCCGCCAGCTCTGCAAGGGAAAAGCAGGCGGGGGATATAAGCTTGAAACAGATCTAACTCTTCTCTCGGTGTTTTTGTACTATGCAGGTCAGAGGAAGGGAATAAATAGGAAAAGAACATGAATTTACAAGATTGGTATCGAAAAATCAAAGCTCTTCTCCATTAAACTCAGGCATTACACCGCGTTTTTGGCAGACAGCAGTTACAAAATTGTCATTTCCACCCCAAAGGATGGGCATTTCTCATAGCGAAGCCGTTGGCCGCGCTGTATTTTACAAAACTACCGTACCTTTTTCATCTGAAGAGAGGGACTCGGCGCCGCTGGAAGACAAAACGGGAAAGGCGTCAGCAGATCCGTCCGCCCTTCGCCGGGCTTCCACGCGAGCGGGCATTCACCCACCCCCTGGCTCTGGGCAGGGAACCGGAGGTTACGAGGTAGTGTAGGATGGGGGGTTGGTGATGAAAAATACCTTGTCTCTAACATCACCCGTGGCCCAGGCCCTCGCCCTCACCGTGCCAGGGTCCCCTGGCTCTGCTGCACATGGTTCCAAGCCCTCGGCCCCGACCGCTTTCACAAAGCACCTGGTGTCCGCGTGCCAGATACCCGCGGTTTTGGTAGCCATCCAACCCATCTTCCTCAGCAAAGTGTGCCGCGAGGATGGAGGCGGTGGCTCGGACGGGGCAGGTGACTCCAACAGACCATCTGTGGCCGGTGGCAAATCCAGACCAACCTGTGGTCTCCATTCGCTCTGTCATTTAGGGATAAAGATCAGGTCTGGAAACCTTCCCGTGGAGCTCCACAAAGCTCTACAACATGGAGCACTGGAACAGGTTGCCCAGAGAGGTTGTGGAGTCTCCTTCTCTGGAGATATTCCAGTCCCGCCTGGACGCGGTGCTGTGCAGCCTGCTCTGGGTGACCCTGCTTGGGCAGGGGGTTGGGCTGGGTGACCCACAGAGGTCCCTTCCAACCCCGACCATCCTGTGATTCTGTGAGTCCACCGAATAACCACCATAAAAGCTGCTGCTGAGGAAGGGAATCACCCTGGGCGCAGGTGCCATAAACCAGCAGGTGACATCTAGCTCTCCATCACTTCGGTGGCACAAGCAAATATCCTGGCCCCTCCGCCCTGCCACGCAGGCAGGGAAAGACCCTCCATTCCCTCGCCCTTCGGGGGCAGGCGAGGGATTTCCGTGCCGCCCCGGCGATGCTGAGGGACGACGGCGATGGAGAAGCTCAGCTCTGGAGGACGATTTTGAACTTCTCAGGCTGCTTATCCCAGCTGTGGGGGCGGGGATGCTCCCACGCAGCCTGGAGCTGTACATGTTTGTCGGTCAAGGGCAGGGAAAACGGTGCTGCGGCCAGTTAGACAGGCAGGGGCAGATCAGGCGAGGGTTTCACTGCGGGTATGAACGGGAAATCACACAGCGCGGTTTCTGCTTTCAAATTGTATCTTAAGAAGAAATAAATAATGACAACAAGTTTGCCGATGACACAAAGCCGGGAGGAGTGGTGGATACAGCGGCAGGCTGTGATGCCATTCAGCTCATTCATGGAGCTCTGAGCAACCTGGTCTAGCGGAAGATGTCCCTGCTCATGGCAGGGGGGTTGGAACCAGATGATATTCAAGGTCCTTTCCAACCCAAACCATTCTATGATTCTATGAGACCTGGACAGGCTGGAGAGTTGGACAGAGAAGAACCTGATGGAGTTCAACCAGGGCAAGTGCAGGGTCCTGCACCTGGGGAGGAACAACCCCAGGCACCAGTACAGGCTGGGGCGGACCTGCTGGAGAGCAGCTCTGCGGAGAGGGACCTGGGTGTCCTGGTGGGTGACAAGGTGACCATGAGCCAGCAGCGTGCCCTGGGTGCCAAGAAGGCCAATGGGATCCTGGGGTGCATCAAGAGGAGTGTGGCCAGCAGGTCCAGGGAGGTTCTCTTCTCCCTCTACTCTGCCCTGGTGAGGACCCATCTGCAGTGCTGTGTCCAGTGCTGGGCACCCCAGTTGAAGAAAGATGAGGAGCTACTGGAGAGAGTCCAGTGGAGGGCTACGAGGATGAGGAGGGGACTGGAGCATCTCTCCTACGAGGAGAGGCTGAGGGAGCTGGGCTTGTTCAGCCTGGAGAAGAGAAGGCTGAGAGGGGACCTTAGAAATGC